ACGTCATACTAGTTAGCTTGTTTTCTGTTTGGGAGTTCTATCCACTAGTTTGGATTTTGGTAGCAATTATAAACCAGAATAGGGGTTTGTTTTGGGGCGCTTACATTTCTGGGTGTCTGATCCAGTTGATGGCAGACATAGAATGCTTCCAACCACACGGGGGTTTCTATAGGCCATTGTTCCCCATGCCTCTCTGAGGGGGCCAGGTTCTGGCAGTGGTCCCCGGTAGGCCTAAGAACTCAATACACATGACTGATGCCAAAGTCTGACATTAGCATATCAGCCTGGGATAGCTCCGGGGAGCCTCTGGCACTCACCCAGAATATGGCGTTTCATTACATTCAACGCTGGTTTTTTGGTTGTCTTCCAGCCCTGGTGGCGTCGGGAGGCTTCTCCTCCTTTAGGGTGTTCGGGGCTGGCGGGAAGGGCCTCTTTCCCCTGCTCTTTGTCATGTCATCTTGGTGTGGGTGCATTTGGATGTGGTTGATCTGCCCCATCCTTCTGGGGTTCCCACTTGTTCTGATGCAGACACAGGACTTTGCGGATCTGCGGTTCTTCTGGACTTGTTCAGTCTGCGCCCTGGATTCTTTGCTTTCTTCGGAAGACTGTTATTTCCGTTCCGGCTTCTGTTGGGGCCAGGTGCCTGGTTGGTGTCCCTGGATCTCTGGGTCACTTCTTGGCACGTTCCTCTCCAGGGTTTCGGGACTGGCACAGTTGGTTGTGGGGCTTCAGGCTTGCCGCTTTTGTTGCCTTCCCTAGTTTGTAATGGGCACTTAGTGGATTTCTGCATCCTTACCGGATCTTGGTGACCTGTCTGTGTCTGCTCAGGATTCGGTTTTTGGGCGCACCTTGATGACTGGCTGGTGTGGGGCTCCCAGTTGGTCCACTTGTCTGCTCGCCAGGGGTGTGGTTCTGTCCAGATCACCGGGTTCGGGTTCTTGGTGAACCGGCGGCCGTTCCATATGGTTCCGTCCTGGGTTCGGTTCTGGCTGGGTCTTGTTTAAGACTATTGGACCGCTTCTTTGTTTCTCTCCCCATAGGCTTTGCTGCGGCTGTAGTCGCGCCTTCGGCTGTTTCTGAGGGAGTCCCAGGTCACTCGACGGTTGCTCGAGCGGTTGTGCAGGAGTCTGAACTTTGCCGTGCTGGTCTATCCGCTGGGTCGGGTTTGCTTCGACGTCTATTTTGGTTCCTTCGGGCACTTCTCTTTCGCCTCTCTTACGCTCCTTGAGTTCGTCCTCCGAGGACCTTGTGTTGGTGCTGCATCGCTGGCTTCCTCTTTGGGGTTTTCGGGGTTCCGTGCCTTGGCTCCTCCCCAAGCCTTCGCTTGATGTGTGCACAGACGGGTCGTCTCTCTCTGCTGGGGCTTCGTGACCAGTGCTCACCAGGACGGCCTGGGACGGTGGGGTCCGTTCTTCCCTCGGGCTCACAGCATGGTTCGGGAGTTTGTGGCTGTCTAGTTGCACTTTGGAGGGTTCGGGTCACTCGGGGCTCTACTATCCGGGTCCATTCGGATTGTTCTCCGGTGGTTCACTGCCGGAACCTCGGGGGTTGTCTTTGGTCCTTGCCCATTGGGGTTGGTCCCTTCGAGTGGCTCATCTGCTGGATTTTCGAGGTTTGGCTCTCCGTGCGTTTCGTGCCCGGGGAGTGGGTTATGTCCTGGCGGACGGCCTCGGTTCATTCCTCTGTTCACGGATTGGCCAGTCGTCTCCACTTTCCCTGGCTCTGCCGGACGTACGGATTCCCAGACGTGGACATCTTCGCGTCGGCGTGGTCTCGGTGTCTCCCATTCTATGTGGCGCCCTTCCCTGCCTACAAGGCGTTAGTGGTGGATGCCTTTCGGCAGGACTGGTCGAGGGGGAGTTACCTGTACCTTTTCCTCCAGTTCAGCTGTTGCTTCGGGTTCTGGCTCTGTTGGAGTCCTTCCCAAGAAGTGTAGTCCTCGTGGCCCCTTGGTGGCTGGCCCAGCTTGTTTTCAGACACTGCATGCTTGGTGTCTGAACCTGAGGCATTTCCTGCAGCTCTGCCTCTTTTGGCAGGTCAGACCGGTCTGGTACGTGGCTGGTCCGGCCTTCTCCTCAGCTCTTTGCATCTGGTCTTCTGACGCGGGTGTATCACAATCTCTATGGTGATCAGGTGACTTTGTTGATAGTGTCCCACCTGTGAGCTTCGTCTCGGCGACAGTATGATGTTTCCTGGCATTTCTATTCACCATTTTCTTGCTCTTCGTAGGTTGTCTTCTCTTTCACATCAGGTTGTCTTGTCCTTTCTTGGTTTTCTGGACAGTTATTGATGCTTCTTACTGTCGCCTCATATCGTGCGGCACTAGTGGAGTTACTCCAGCGTTACGTTCGGGGTGGACGTAACGTCCACCCCGTTTCATACGCTTTCTTATGCTTTGTTTCACTTCTGCCCTGCTCATGCCCTGCCTGTGTCGTCCTGGTCCTTGGCCAGGGTGCTCACTTATCTTTCCTCTCCTCGGTTTGTGGTAGCCCCTTCAGTTCAAGATTTTTTTCAAATGTCCTGTATTTGTTGGTGTTGGCCTCTGGGGGGTCGGGTCGGGGAGCTTCCGGCTCTCCTCCAGCGCAGGGGTTTCTGCTCTTTTGGTTCTGGTGGTAGGTTTGTACAATTGCAGCCTTCTCCGTCTTTTCTGGTGAAAGCCAAGATGGCTGCTTTCCGGAGGGGGTCCTTGGGTTATTGATGCTTGGTTGGTTCGGGCCGGGGGTGCGTCATGTGTTGTGTCTGGTTGCGGCTCTTCGTCGTTGCCTGAGTGCCGAAGCTGGGGATGTGCTTTGGGTTGATCCCGTTTTCCTCGTTCCCTGTTCCAGGGCTCGGGTCTCCTAGGTCGACTGCAGGGTTAAGTCTAGCCAGCCTGCGATCTATCCTCGTGCCCATGCCGTTTGGACGTTTTCAGCCTTCACTGCCGTGTTTAGTAAAGTGTCTTGGGTTCATTTCGAGCGCAGGGATTTGGAGGTCGCACAGGTTCTTGGCTGCCCGTTATTTTGTGAGCATGTCTGCTCCTGGTTATTCTGGTGTTGCTTTGGGTCGCAGGTTGCAGCCTGTTGTCTCGACTTCTCGTTAGGGAGTTTGTGGCGGCCGCCTCTCGGGTCAGCCTTCTCTTTTCCTTTTCTTTGGGTAAGAAGCTCCAGGGAGCCGTAGGAGCTCCCCTCAGAAAACCGCCGTTGAATGTAATGAAACGCCATTTTATGGGTAAGCCCCGCAGGCTCCCTGGCAACCCTTTCTCCCACTGGTCGGCATTTTTTTCATGTTTTTTTCATGCTTAGCTACCGAACCGGAGTGCTATGCAGCCGGCGCGGTGAGGTCCAAGCCCCCCCCTCCCTTTCTCGGGGAGGGGAGAGCTACATGGATGAGCGGCGCGGCAGTAGTGTGTTACGTTTGCTTATTTGCTTGTTTCCTTGGGATTATAGTGAGTTCTACCTCTCTGTTCGGTTTTTGTTGTTAGTTTCTTACCATGTGGGGTTTGTTTTGTTATGCCTACCTTTCTGGGTGCCTAACCTCGGTCGATGGCAAATAAGGAAAACCCCCCAATCACGGGGGTTTTCCAGGGCCATTACTATCTACAACCTCTCTGAAGGGGCCAGGTTCTGACTCTGGTCCCTGGTTGGTCTTAACTCCAAGGCTAATGTCCCGGTCTAATATAACATACATTAGCCCGATAAGCTCCAGGGAGCCTACGGGGCTCACCAAGAAAATGGTGTTTCATTACATTCAACGCTGGTTTTTATTTTTATTCGTTATACACAGACGTTATATATAAGTATCTACATTTGTGTTCACCATAGCGAACCACTAATCTTGTATGGTGACAATTGACTGTAACAGGTGGCCACACACAGTTCATGCTCCTTCCTTCCTTCCCTCACACCTTCATTGGTTCATGGCGGGACGCACTAACATTCCACCTTCAAATACATGTATACTGTTTGTGGTGTTATTATCCTATATACATACATAATATTTAAGTATCTACATATGTGTTCACCATAAGGAACCACTAAGTTAGTATGCTGCGCCAAACAGCAGCAAGGAGTGACCACCACACACCACCTAGCCCGCTATTGGCCGCCACTCCCTCCCTCACCTCACCTGACTTGCCAACATTCTATTCCCACCATAATGTTTTGTGCTTTTATTCACTATACACAGACGTTATATATAAGTATCTGCATGTTTTGTTCACCATAGCGAACGACTAAGCTGGTATAGTGAGTCCAGACAGTAGAAGGTGGTCACACACAGTCAGCAGACAACGCTGCCTCCCTCCCCTCCATGATTACTTCTCCTACTATAGTGCTAATTATCACAACAATCCTGATATTATCAGAATCCTGGACATTTTTATCACAGTCAAGGGTCTTCTGTAATATACAATCTTCGTTAAATAATAGCATGTACTATACATATATATTTTGACTTTTTTAGGCGATACTGTGGTCACAAGCTGAACAGCAGTGCTGTGAGCTCATGCTGCATGCACCAGCCTTGGTTACTTACTCACTACTGAGGCTCTCACACCCGGGAATGTTGCCCACTATTTTTTTTTTAAATGGCATCTGTTTGCAAGAGCCCTGATGAAGGTGAGGTGAACTCTGTGTATCCGCAGGCCGTTTAAATCTTGTGTAGTACTACAACACGTCATGTGACGTGATGCGCAATTTTGGGTAAGTTACTCCTACCCAAAATTTAAAGATGCCGTTTAAAGGTTAAGGGTTAAACTGATGTCTTTAGTGGGTGTAAAAGCAGGCCTGGGTTTTGACAGTTGTTACTTAACACGAGTGAATACTCGTTCATCTCCACACTTGAAGACACATGTGCAGCTGGGTAAGCTGTATGTTTTCAGTCTCCACTTCCAATAACGACTTTACTTTTTACTAGGTGAAAGAGTCAGCAAAAAAAATTCTTGTCTATATGTGATCTTGGAGTAGTTGATTTTCATGAGGCTTTGGCTGCATAAATAACAATATACTATTTTTCTTTTTCAGTGTCTTACTGATGAGCACGAGGATATTCGCAGCACTGTCGTCTTCTACATAACAGAACGTTTGCTGAAACGCTTCCCTAAAATTTTATGCCAGCACTTCATTGAATGCATCTTCCACTACAATTGTTATGAGGTACATATTAGCCATTTATAATGATACATGATAATTACCATAACTGATAAAATAACTGCTCTGGAAATTGGATTTTTGACATGGTAGTTCTTACACACACAAATCACAATAGCATGATATATCCAAGACTAAGGTGCAGCTGGGAACATCATGTGCGTAGGTTCAAACCCTCGTCATGACCCTTGTAGATTTGTTCATGGTAGTTCTTTATTTGTATTTTCTTGCTTCACCTTACTACACTACCAAATAATTCTATATCTTGTGGGAAGCCCTTAGTGGCTAATGATGCTGAAATACCACTGTGATGGCTGTGTTTATTGTGAAATTCCCCCAGTGTGCATGACATCAAGTGTTCCCAAAAAATCATTTTTCTTTGTAAAATGATAAATTCCCTGTCCTGAACATGTCTATGTAAAAATAGTTACCAAATTCCACTTACTTTGGCTGTGAGGGGCGTGGACAAGGTGCGCTGTGACGTCATCAGGGGCTGGTCGCCCGTGTGTGAAGCTCCCAGACACGGTCGCGCAGGCCATTCAAGCACCGGGTGTTGCCACAAATATATTTTCAAATATTTGTTCTATGTATTTCCAATGCGGTCTTATTTGTTTCTTTTATCGTATATGATGCATATTTGTGACCTTTACAATATGTATACAGTAGAATGTTCATAATTTTCCATGGAACTGTGATACATGTGTCAGTAATGTGTCCACAATAAATGTTTATTGTCACAATATTATGTGGTAAAAATTCACTAAAATTACAATATGTACAGTTTCACACACTATTTACACAGAGAGCCGGTCGGGGAGCGGACAGCACGCGGGACTTGTGATCCTGTGGTCCTGGGTTCGATCCCAGGCGCCGGCGAGAAACAATGGGCAGAGTTTCTTTCACCCTATGCCCCCTGTTACCTAGCAGTAAAATAGGTACCTGGGTGTTAGTCAGCTGTCACGGGCTGCTTCCTGGGGGTGGAGGCCTGGTCGAGGACCGGGCCGCGGGGACACTAAAAAGCCCCAAAATCATCTCAAGATAACCTCAAGATAACCACAGTAACACACTGTATTACACACTCAGTACTTTGGAGGTGCGTAATAATCAACGAAGGAGTCCATAGTACACAGCACAACTCTGCTCTCGCTGCACCAGCTACAGATAGATTTTCTCTCCTGTTTCATCGTTCTGTGTGCTTGCAAATAATGCACTCACGTGCACCCTTGGCTTTAGTACTTGTAGGTGGTATGTAGCCAAGGTTGTAAAGCATAAGGTAGTATTGAAACGATTATAGGAGACGCTCAAATTCTAAGGTAGTCTTGAAAAGATCGCTTTGTATGGTCCCACACAGGAAATGATTCAGCTAGCCTCAAAGAGTGTCCATCAGTCAGGAAGAGATTCAGGTATTCTTGAAAATATCTATGGAAAACACCACCATGGACGCAGCTAACACTGTTCATCTATGCTACTTGTATCAGATGCATCATCACTGAATGCAGAAAATGATTCATAAATGTATCATCTATATAAATTGGAGATGTCAAGGGTGGGGCTCAGAGCTACAACTGGATATGCTCGCTGTATCATCCTCATAGGTGCTGTATTACTTGCATCCGACCGTTGTGTAAAGTCCTCATTGCGCCTAGCTTCACCAATATTATGACCCTTATGTTCTCCAAACAATAAGGTCTGAATTTCACTGACTGAGCGCAATCTTTCAACACCGCGGTCGCCGGAGCCGGTCGGCCGAGCGGACAGCATGCTGGACTTGTGATCCTGTGGTCCTGGGTTCGATCCCAGGCGCTGGCGAGAAACAATGGGCAGAGTTTCTTTCACCCTATGCCCCTGTTACCTAGCAGTAAAATAGGTACCTGGGTGTTAGTCAGCTGTCACGGGCTGCTTCCTGGGGGTGGAGGCCTGATCGAGGACCGGGTCGCGGGGACACTAAAAAAAAAAGCCCCGAAATCATCTCAAGATAACCATCTCAAGATAACCGCATCAGACAGGTGTTTGGGAGCCAGAGGCACGTGTGCCACAAATGGTTGCTCACGTAGTACTAACCCAGCCAGCAGCCCTAGTCTTTCATATTTGTTATAGCAAAAGGTTTGTTCAGTGTTTGTTGGGTAGGCTGCTCCATTATGGCAATCTTTCTTTGTTTCAAATATGTTCCATTTGTTTTATATTTGTCACTTATGTCTCAATAATGGAGCAGCCTACCTGACAAACACTGAACGAACCTTTACGGCATTTGTCCATTTTTCAAATTGTTTCAACTGTTTTTTTTTATTTTTTGTTTTTTTTTTATTTAAGATACATGGAGCAGCCTACCTGTAGACAACCGAACGAATCTTTTTGACATCTGTTCTGGTTTTCAAAATTCTTCATTTTTTGTATTATTTTCATTTTTTTTTTTTTTATGTAAGAAACATGGAGCAGCCTACCTGCCGACCATGTTTACCTGCGACCGTTCCTGTTTCCTCTGGAGACAGTGTACTTTTGTGGGGGTTTTCTTTTGTTTTTATTTTTATTTGCCTGGTGGGGGCCTGCCTAGTGTGGTTATGGTTCCACTGGTAGTGTTTAATGGCCCTCTGCTAGGCCCCCGTGATTGTACACGCCGCAGGGGTTTTCAGTGCTATCCTCTACCCTCTTGTTATTTTTGGGTTTCTTAACCGGTTAGCAACACCTTGCCCGGGCTTCCCGTAGCAGTCAGCCTACAGGCCCTGGAAACCCCTGTCTGGGCTCGGTAGACCATTGAATGTGTCTTCCGGTTTCCAACCCGTCTTGTACGGGATCGTTGGTTGCTCTGCCCTTGTCTCTGGGTGACAGTCGCCACTTTTACCTCCGTCATGTTGCCTGTTGGGTCACTCACACGTTGACCCGGAGTCCTGCGAGAGATATTCTCTGCTTGTTCTCCAGTACTCTCCTGATGTTATTACTGTTCAGAGTACAGGCAGCATCCGTGTTGCAAGCTAGGTAGGTTGCTGCAACACGCTAGGTTGGTTTCCCACTCGGATGCCCCGAGGCCGCCGCGTTTTGGTTAGGTGCTGTTCACCCCTTTCCCTCCCTGTTCCCGGCTCCGGGCCGTTTGCGGGTCTCGGGGTCGGGGCGAGGTTTAATTGGGGCCGAGACTCGGGTGATTTTCGGGGGCTGCCCAGTTCGTGTTGGGGACGGAGGTTTTCGAGCCTGTTCCTCCTGCCAAGGCTTCTGGGTCTGACCAGCAGCCGTTTCTTGCTGCCTTTCCCATGGACTCTTCCTTTTCTTTAAGGGCGGAGGGCTTGGAGGACGGCTCTGCCCCGGGGCCTCTGTTGCTGGTTCCCGGGGCTGTGGGGGATGCCTGCTAGCAGTTCTGGGGCAGTTTGCCCCTGCCTGGGTTTTTCTGCTTTTGGGCGGAGTTTTTCGCCCATCCAGTCTGCTTGCTTCCCACTTTTGCTGGCGTGTTTTCGTATCTTTTGCGTCGGTCACAGCCCTCTGTTCTGGTGGCCATTTTCTTCTGCCGGTTTCCCGGCGTGTCAACAAGGGCGGCGTTGCGGTTTGTTTACATGCACCTGGGTGTGCGAGCGAGCGTCTGGGGTGAGTTTTTCACCCTTTTCAGGGGTTTTATTCTCCTGTTGTCGTTTCTTTGCTTTACTGGTGTTTTCTGCCTGTTTCCTGTTCCTCTTGGAACGTTTGAGTGTTGATTTTATACCGAATTTTCCATTTTGTCTGTTTTGGGTCTGGGTCCTTAGGTTGTGGCCCAGTGTCCCTGGCTGTTATGCTTGCTCCCACACCTTGTTCCTTGGTTTTCGGTCTGTTTTGACCTTTTCCCAGGGGGTTCTGTCTGGGGGGCTGTGCTTTGCCTTAATGTGGTGTTTCTCCCCCGGCAAATGTGGTGGTTTGGGCTCCCCCTTTTTCGATTCCGGGTTCCTTTGGATTCTTTGGTTTCGTTCTGGAGGTTTCTTCCTCTTGGGGCCCCCCTTTGTGGGTTCAGGTGGCTTTGTTTCCTCGTGTGTAACCCAGTTCTGCCTTCTGGAGTTTCGGAGTCTTCCTGGCTTGCAGACTGATCTTTTTGGGTCTTGCCACATGTTGTGGTCGTGCTGGGACTTTGAGGTTTTGTTGTCATAGTGGGCGCTTTTGGTTGTCTTCCGGCCTCTGGTGATGGCGGTGGACGGCTTCTTCCCCTTTGGGGGGTTCAGGGCTGGCGGGGTGGGGCTTCTTCCCCTGCGCTTCGTCATGTCATCTTAGTGGGTGCGTTGGACGTGGTCATTCCGCCCCATCCTTCTGGGGTTAACGTCTGCTCTTTGCAGACATGGGCCTGTCGAATCTGCGGTTCTTCTGGACTTCTTCAGTCTGCGCCCTGGATTCTATACCCTCATCGGAGGACTGTTGTCTCCTGTCCGGCTTTTGTTGGGGCCTGGTGCCTAGATGGTGGCCCTGGGTCTCCAGGTCAATTCTTGGCACGTTCCTCAACAGTTTTCCGGGACTGGCACAGTTGGTGGTGGGGCTTCAGGCTTGCCACTTTTGTTGCCTTCCCTATTTTGTAATTGGCACTTGGTGTATTTTTGCATCTTTACCGGATCTCAGTGCCCTGTCTGAGTCTGCTTGGGATTCGGTGTCTGGCCTACCTCGACGACTGGCTGGTGTGGGCTCGCAGTCAGTCCGCTTGTCTGCTCGCCAGGGGTGTGGTTCTTTCCAGATCGCCGGGTTTCGTTTCCTGGTGATCTGGAGGCCATTCCATATGTTTCCATCCTGGGTTCGGACCTGGCTGGGCCTTGTTTAGGGCTCTTGGGCCGCTCCTTGTCTTTCCCTCCAGAAGTGTTGCTGCGGCTGTGGTTCCGACTTCGGCTGTTCATGAGGCGGTCCCGGGTTGCTCAGCAGTTGCTCGAGCAATTGTGCGGGAGTCTGAACTTCAACGTGCTGGTCTGCCCGCGGAGTCAGGTTTGGCTTCAGCGTCTGTTTGGTTCCTTCGGAGACTCCCCTGCCGTCTCTCTTGCAATCTTTGGGTTCGTTCCTCCTGGGATCTTGTGTTG